CCGACTTCGAGTGTAAAGCAACACCCTACGAGGAGAAATTTTTCACCCCCTTTCCCCATATTTTATGTAAATTTTCAGTCCAACCTGATATTGCCCAAACACAGATGCCAAACCCATAGTTTCCTTTCAGAGGTTCTAAGGTGCCATCCAAAACCGAGCTCACTTGAAACCATAAAGCACACACAAGGCTACATAGAACCTGGACACTCATGGCTATATCCTGCCTCACCTACATCTGAATCATGCCTATGTATGCACAGAGCACGGGCATCAGGTACCTTCAAGCTCGAGAGCGTCAGTGACTCCAGCCACTTGCAGATACCAAGTTTGGTTTATTCACAAAATGCATAACAATCTTCAGCTGTGTGTCAAATGCAAGGTTTTCACGCATCCTCAGTTTTTGGGGGTCACACCACAACAATGAAAAGCCTGATACAAACACCAGCAAAGCGTGGTAGATAATTTTACCCCACGTATTTCTTTTACCCGAAGCAACTTGACCACTGAACCACCACTACACTAAACACCACTCACCACCAGTCTCAACAGTGGTCACACGCACCACTCCCAAAATGCAGGAGCGAAAAAATTCCGGAATGCCTTCTAAATGCAAACCAAAAGCTAAATATCACAATTTGAACACTGAGTTTCAGAAATTTTTAGTCGAGTTAGTTGACAACAAAATTTGACCAAACAACTCTAGGTCTATCTTTATCTAATTGCTTTCATTTTTGTTGGTCCCATACGATTGTGATACAACTTCATTTTGCCTTCCTTTCTGATCATCGTTATAAACACCATCTATCGCTTAAAATGCTGACCAATTTCTCTGCAAAATGTTCCAACTGCAAACTTGCTTATACTTCATACACAAATTTGATTCCTTCGCCAGCCACCCAAACCTACTTGATATGCACCCAAGAGTAAACACTTCGTAGGAAATGAAGGTAAAAAGAAAGTTCTATGCTAAAAATTGTCCCCTGTACGCAGCATAAAAACCAACAAGGTGAATTTACCTTATGCTGTTGAATGATGCGTCCCTCTAAGCACATCAGACACAACATATAAGATCCCGAGTTTGACACTCCAATACGAATATGGCATCGCCGCTGTTGCGGCACATTCGAAGGTTGTGAAATAGAAGGAGTAAAACTGTCGAGTTCCAGTGGCTGTATGGGAAGAAATGTACCTGCAATTTCCTAGAACTGTACATATATTAGCTGGCCCATGCTCAATGTAATGAGCTAAGCAGACTTCCCACGACTTGAAATATCCAATTTTATTTACGCTTTGCCAGCACAAAGGCATGAGCTGATGCAGGCTATTTAAGAAGACTATGCCTTTGTCTTGCCGACATGAGGTACAACCGTAAAATCTCTGTAATATTTTATTTATGTGCTGTTTCAAATTTCAACCTCTCCTTTGCAATTTGCCTTCAGAAACCGGCACTGCAGTGATAACTAAGATAACCTTCATCTAACGTTTGCAGGTGAACGCCGTGTTAGATCTGTCGAACAGCCGGCTTTTGCCGGTGAGATCACTAGCTGGCTAGGGCGGGCCGGGATACGGAGGACATTTTGCAAGAAAGTGACGTTTCTGAACCGTCTCCACCGTCTTAATGTCGTGGCCAGCCGGATCTCCGCAGCTGGAGAATGCGGACATCACATACCGTGAACCGTGACAAGGTGTCAGGCCGTGTGACACTGGTCAAAAGGGCCTTTCAGCCTGTTTGGTCGAGAGTGGCATGTACCCCAACACTACATGGCTTAGGGCTGGGTCACAAGTAAATATTCTTTCACATGATGACATTCCAATTGAATACAAACACTAGTGAAAAACAAATTTGCAGCTGCCGCCAGGACCAGAAAGCAGTTGAGGAGAACTGACCGCATCGTAATCTTCAATATCTCGTTGACCTTTCATTCACTGACCATTGACCATACGTTGACCATACGTTAACCAAGCATTGCTGCGCAGTCGAAACTTATCGCATCATCGCGTAGTTCTTTGTCCATCCGCCGTTGTTCGTGCGGTGGCTACCACATCCCTCTAGGAGATATCTACATGCCATGACACACCGCGACCACAAACGGTGGCGTTAGCGGGCGCGAGCCGGTGACCACAGCCGTGCCAGTGACTGCTCATGCCACGCCGTGCTATGTTCCTTCTTCTCAAGAGCAGGAAACTTGCAAAAGTGCCGGCGCAACTGTTCAATGGCAAATTGTTCATTCATTACCATACCCGGCTCTGCCTACCATTGCGCCACGATTTCCGAACATAGTGACATCCAGGTGTCTACCCTGCCCGTGAGCGACGAACACGACAGGGGAAGCTGGAGAGCGTGTATTGCGTATAGTACGGATATTGCGTATAGTATTGCGTGTACTGCAGATAGCACGGATCGTTTCATTCTTATATAAAACTGAAAGGTGAAAGCAATAGACAGGTTAAGTCCAAATCTCATACCCATATTCAGTGTCCTAGCATCGCCAACTTTACCCGAAGAAACTTGACCACTTAATTGCACCACTCCCGAAATGTGGGAGTGAAAAATTCAAGAAATGCTTTGTTAATGAAACTTATGAGGTGAATATCACACCTTGAGCACCCGTTTTTGCAGTTTTTAGTCAGTTAACTGATAACAAATTTTGACCAAACATTTTCTGTCTCTATCTTAATCCAATTATTTTGGCTTTTCTTGGTTCCACTCAATTGTAATACAACTTCATTTTTCCTTCTTTTCCGATCATGTTTAAAGACACCATCTATGGCTTCAAGTGCTGATCAATTTCCCTGCAAAATGTTCCAACTGCAAGCTTGCAGATAATTTATACCTATATTGGATAAATTTGTCAGCCGCCTGAACGTCTTTGAGATGCAGAAGATTTGTTGTCTTCAATATCTGTCTTTAATATCTCGTTGACCTTTCTTTCACTGCCATTCATATGCTAACCGAGCATTACCACGCAGGCGAAATTTATCGCATCATCGCGCAGTTCTTTGTCCATTCGCCGTTCTTTGTACAGTAACTAACGCATCACTATAGGGGATATTTGCATGTCATGACATACGGCGGACACAAACGATGCCGTGAGCGAGGGTGAGCCGGCGACCACAGCTGTGCCAGTGAGCGCTCTTGTCACGCCGTGCTATGCTCCTTCTTCTCGAGGACAGCAAAACCGAAAAAAGCGTCGGCAACCGTTCGATAGCAACTTATTCATTCATCATCACACCCGCCCATGTCTACCATTGCGCTACGTTTTCCGAGCCGGTGATATCTAGGGATCTACCCCGCCCGTGAGCGATGAACACGGCAGGGTAAGCTGTAGAGCGTGTACTGCCGCCACGCAGCGGGATGGCAGCCAGTGTGCACTGCACGCGGCGGATGGCGTTTCGACCTCACTGGGATTACGAGACAAGTCAAAACTCAAGGCCGACATGTTAAGGGCACGCACAACGTCAGCATTTTCATGGCATCACAAAGCACACGCAATCGGCCATGCCCACGCAGTTCGCGTAATTGGCATGTTTTCCTCTCGTTATTTACTCTCCCCATCTGGCTAAAAGTGATGAAGAATTGACTAAGTGTTTTATCGCATTCGTCCATGTGATGCTTATAGGCACTGTTGGGCCACGCCGTGGCTACGTGTGTTTTAAATATGCGCGGACAATTAGCTATCTTTGCAGAATCGTTCCCTAAATTGTGCAGCATCTTCACTAGCCTTTCAGCATCAGTCACAACGTAAAAGGCATCCGTCATCGGCCGCTTCCCTGCGAATCATTGGCTGGTGTTCGATTGCGCGGCCGTGCCGCTCCGACGCCGACCTGAAGGTGGCGCAACCCAGAGCGCCAGCCTGTCGCCTGTACCGGAAAACCTAGTAACTTGCTAACCGTTCTGCTTCTAGCCTGAACATGTTTCTGTGCGTGGTCCGTGCCGCCGTCCCCGCCCCTTTGGAAGCGGCGTTGGGTCGGGCCGGCTCACGTGAGATCGGTGGACCGGAGGCCGGTTGTGGTCTGGTCGCCTGGCTGGACGGGTCGCCCACTGCAGAGGGCGTTGCGTCAGGTGGGGCAGCGCCGCCGGCGGCAGCGTGACGGCCAACCGCGTCGCCCTCCCACGGCCAAATAAAAGCCCGGCCGCACAGACACCAGGCACCAGTCACTCGCCAGCAGTGGTCTCCATCTTACAACGCCACGGCAAACATGAAGCTGGTGAGTGCGGCCAGGGAGATCGGTGCTTCACATGAGGGATGCCTTTCGTATTCCAGCGGTGTCTGTGCTGTCAGTTGGGGCGCCAGGGAGGGTCTTTTAGATAAGGTCGTTGATCATCTTTCATTTTTTCCGTGTCTTTCCAAGCCAGTGTGTTTAGTAAACAGGTGGGTATACAGCCATTCCGGTGAACCACAATATTACCATGGCTTGCTTAAATTGGTTACCATAAAAAATCAGGAGCGTAATTTGACGTCCAAAACTAGCTATGATGGCAGATTGGCACGATACCACTCTTGTCAGAAGAGATCAGAACAGGCGTGCGGACGTAGGCTGCAATTTCAGCAGTCCCTCAATCGGTGTGAAAGGCCACGTCGTCAGTCAATGCGCTGTGAGATGCCGCATATATTCCATAGCTATCCCTTGATCCCTGCATCCACTGATGAGAGAAACTGACCTGACAAAGGCGCTGAACTACGTCTTATCACGTTAAAAAGGTGTGTCGCGATTTCAGCCTCGGCATGCACTGCCGGATCAGCACTCGCTCTGACGTCACTTGGGTGTTTTTCCAGTTGATCGTAGCCTCGCTGGCGGCTCTGGCCTGCGCTGATGGCCCGCGGCCGCAGCCGGCACCCGCCTCCTACCAGCGGCCGGCGGCCCCGGCACCAGCCTCCTACCAGCAGCCGGCGGCACCGGCCTCCTACCAGCAGCCGGCCGGCTACGGTCAGCCCTTCGCCATCCTCAGCGAGGAGAACGTCCACCCGGGCGACGGCACCTACCAGTTCAGCTTCCAGACCGAGAACGGCATCTCACGTAACGAGAACGGCAGCCCCAAAGCCGGTTACGGCAAATCCGAGTACGGCCAGCCCACCGGCGGCTACGTCCAGCAGGGTGGCTGGAGCTACAGCGACGACTACGGCAACCCCATCCAGGTGACGTTTGTTGCCGACGAGAACGGCTACCAGCCGTCTAGCGACATCCTGCCGACGCCGGTGCCGACCGAGTACCCGCTGCCGATCGTGCCGCAGGTGTACCAGGGCGAGCAGAGCTATGGCTCTGCCCCAGCCCCCGCTCCCGCCCGCTACAGCGCCCCGGCTCCTGCTGCCCGGCAGTACAACGCTCCCGCTCCTGTGGCTCCTGCTCCTGCTCCTCGGCAGTACAACGCTCCCGCTCCTGCTCCTGCTCCTGCTCCCAGGCAGTACAGCGCTCCCGCTCCTGCCCCCAGGCAGTACAATGCTCCTGCTCCGGCTCCTGCTCGTTATAATGCTCCTGCCCCCGCCCGCAACTACTAAAACGGATGGACGGCGAGCGCTGGGAATAGCGCATATGTGTGTGCGAGGCTGTGAGGCTGCATGAGTGATATATTTATCCGTCCGTATTGCTAAGAAATACAGGCGCATGTAGAATAAACTGTTTTCACCGCACTCTTATGATCATTTGTACCTGAGACAAACGATGCCAACGATGTAAATGGCCGGCAACATGATGGACCGACGAAGCAACCTTTCAACTGAATAGTTCACATCCACACCAGATCCCTGACATGGCCACCAGGAGCCCAAAGAAGAGGGATCGACAACGCCGGGCTGCTAGTCAGGTCGCAAGGCACGATCCGGAGTGCCTTGCGACCCTTGCGTGAAGCGTCTTGACGCTTCACGCCCTGCGGACGCTTCACGCCTTGCGTGAAGCGTCCCTGGTGTTTTGAGAGGTGGTGCCCAAATCGTCGTTTTAGGAGTGCTGCTTCATTGGATTGTTTTTCTTGTGATGAGAATATCTGCACGGCAATTGAAACTTTTCAGATCCAGGAGCTGTCCACACCAATGCACACAAAGTTTGTGTTAGTAGTTACTCAGCAGATCAAGTGAAAGCGGCTCCGGTTCATAATTAACTGCGGTGTGAGGATTTTTGAGTGGGTCAGAAACTACCTCCGCACTCGGCGAGGGCGGGGGGGAGACATTGGAACATCCCAATGACATGACCGATCCCAAATCGGGATTCACCTAACCAACCCTGAAATTTGGTTTTCCCACTGAACTTATGCCAATTTATCTTCACGGTCGGACGAAAAGTCACAAAACATATGGAGAATATCATGTGAAATGTGGTGGGGCTAGGGCGTGGTTAGAACACTCCGAGAGCGAAGGGGGTTAGGGTGGGATGGGCTGGGGTGCGGTATCTGGTAATTTCAAAAGGTAGCTTGTGCGGGGAAGGTGGCGTTGTAACGAAGGGCGCGTTGCACAACAATGCCTTTGTGCCGAATTTTCCATTTTTTTCTATCACTGTTTCTTAGGGGTCTGTTGGCCCTTCCGAGAAGATTGGAGGGGACCTGGAGTTCTGTGACGCTTTGTTTGGACACGCCGCTGTTCCTGAGCTGGACAAGCGAATCATCCTGACCTGAACACGCGACTCCTAAGTTGGACACGCGACGGCTCCTGTGCTTGGGTTATTGCTGCTCCAACGATGGGCTCAGCGACACCGGACTGAGCTACGCATGCGTTTTGTTTTGGCACACTTGATGTGATGCGTTTCACCGCTACCGCAACGGCCATTAGTTTTCAAAGTATACTTTTAATTTATATGTGCTTTCCATTTACGTTGCCATCTCCTTCAAAACAGGTATCTGCGCACAGGTCTACGTAAAAGATGCAGTTCAGCATATGACGTATATTTTACTGCGATTAAGATCCGAAAGCTGGTCAGCAGGCTATGTGAGTCATAAACGAAGGTCTAGATATCAGTTGCCAACTATTTTTTTCCGCGATCATTTTGTGGCAACAGAAATTTGCTCAATGAGATATTGATAAATATGCCACGTTGTTTTGCTGCTTTGCTAAGTGCGCATGTCAGTGACACAGCAGCATTTTTGAACAGCTTATTCTTACTACCCTTGCGTGTACGCAGCATAACAAACAACAACGTAACTTTATTTCATGCTGTTGAATGATACGTCCCTCTAAGGACAGCACACACAACATATAAGATCCCGAGTTTGATACTCCAATACGAATATGGCATTGCGGCTGTTGTGGCGCATTCGGATGTTGTGAAAAAGAAAGAGTAAAACTGTCCAGTTCTGGTGGCTGTATGGGATAAAATATGTCTGAACTTTCCTACAACTGTTTAGCATTTGTTTCCATGTACAATGTAATGGGTTCAGTAGACTTTCCACAACTGGAAATATCCAGATTTCTTTACGCTTTGCCAGTGCAAAGTCATGAGTTCGCTTCGTTAGCGAGATGAGATGCAAGCGCGAAATCTCTGTTCCTGTTGTCCATGTGCTGTTTCAAATTGTATCATCAGATCACCACCTCGCCAGGGTGAGCCGGGATCCGGCATGGCATTTTGGAAGAAGCCGACCTTTCTAAACCGTCCCCACCGTCTTACGGTCGGAGCCAGGCGGACCTCTGCAGCTGGAGGATGCGGATATCTCATACCGTATACCCTGACAGGATGTCAGGCCGTGTGACACCGCTCAGAAGAGCTCAGAGTTGTTTTGCCCGTTCGGTCGAGAGCTACATGTATGTCGAACACCATCCACGGTTTAGGACTGGGGCTTTAGTAAATCTCCTTCCACATGATGGCTTTCCAACCACATGCGAGCACCTACTTGAAGAAAAAATTAATTTGCCACATGGACCAGAAAGCAGTTAAGGAGAACTGAGCGCATCGTTATCTTCAATGTCTTCTTGACTTTTCATACATTGACAATTCATTATACGTTAACGGAGCATTGCTGCGCAGTCGAAATTTATCGCATCATCGCATAGATCTTTGTCCATCCGCCGTTGTTCGTACGGTGGCTAACACATCACTATAGAGGATATTTATATGGCATGGCACACCAAGACCACAAACGATGCCGTGAGCGAGCGTGAGCCGGCGACCACAGCCGTGCCAGTGAGTGCTCATGCCACGCCGTGCTATGCTCCTTCTTCTCGAGAGCAGAAAAACTTGCAAAAGTACCGGCAACTGTTTAATGGCAACTTATTCATGCATCATCACACCCGGCCCTCTCTACCATTGCTCACGTTTTCCGAACACAGTGATATCTAAGTGGCTACCATACCCCTGTGAGTGATGAACACGACAGGGAAGCTTTGGAGCGCGTACGACCGCCACGGAGCGGGATGTGAGGCCAGTATGTCGTCTGCACGGTGGATGGCTGTCGGCCTTAATGGGATTACGAGCAAAGCCGACACTCGAGGCTAGGCTGCTAAGGGCACACGCACAGTTAGCTTTCTCATGGCAGCACAAGGCACAAGCGATTGACTATACCCTCACAGTTCGCGTCATTGACGTGTTTTCCTGTCGGTGTTTAGTCTCCCAATCTGGCTAAAAGTTCCGGAAAACTGATCAAGTGTTTCATCGGATTACTCCATGTGATGTTTCTAGGAACTCTCGGCTCACGCCGTGGTGACGCGTATAGATTTTGCTAAATATTCGTCACATGTCGAATGACAAGTTTAAATCTTTAACAAAATAATTGTGTCCTTCAAGTGTGAACTCTTGAGTTGTGTTACTATGAACCCCTTTTGGGACTCTGTTTTTGAAGGGAGCTCAAAGCGAAATGCGGTGTTGTAACCGAAAGCCTGTGCGGATATTGCAAGAAAACCTGCAATTTGATAGCCCCGCGGGTTATGCAAGTATGGGATTACACTGATTTGACATTCGAGTGTAAATCAAGCGTTTCAAATGGGTGTGATCGTTGATGAGACGTGCCAATGGCTTGTATTGATCTTGATGTAATGGGAAGGGTGCGTGTAAGGTTTGTAGTTCTAACAGAGAACATTGTTTGGTATTCTTTAAACCTAATAAATCCCAATAAAATGGTATGGTTTGATACCTGCTCTAGGTTTGCGATTTAACATGACAAAGTTATGATGGCGTCAAACTGAAAGAAACACTGGCATCTATGATTCAGGGGTGCTCAAAGGCAATTTGCTGTTTCATTATGATCTTGCCATAATTTCGAACCCATTGGGATATTCCACCATGTAATGAATCCCTTGCACGCCATTATATTAGCAATTCATTTAGGCAGTGGGGACAGGTCAGTGCGGCTCATTAATGAACATGCTTGGTCTGCTTGGTCTGAGCATTTCAATTGTGTGAGATGCTGGGTACGGAGGAAGATGGAGAAGCATTGTAGTTGGTTTCCTGGACAGCACTTAATAGTATTTTTATCATGTGCCTTGTGTGCACCGGCAGCTTCATCACTTCCTTGCATTTCGCCCATCTAACTGCTACCACATGCACTTGTCAGGCCTTCATCATTGAGCAAGGTCAGCCGGTTCGCAGTGTCTTTTCACGACACTGAATGTTTTCTTGTTATGCATGTGCGACTACTTGTGTGAACTGCATTTTTAACACGCGCCCGGGTAGTCATTTGGATACCCTTCGCTCGGGTGAAGTGTAAATTTGACCCCCTGAGATCTCGGGAACTAAGAGAGCTAGACACACCAAATTCATGGAGTGTCTTGACCTGTACGCAATTTCCTAGGTCAAAGTTTGAAGTTAGTAAGTCATGACCGTCGGGTCAAACAGGGTCAAACAAGGTCATATTCCAGAATGGTGTCCAAAAGAACCCTAGAACCTAGGCAACTGTTTGAAGAAAAATTTCACGCACTCATTAAGGGTCAGTGACCTTGTTTGACCTTTTAACACACACCAGGGTCACCGGTTGGTCAATCTTTGCTCGGGTGAAGGGGATCAATCTGACCCCCTGAGATCCCCGGAATGAAGAGCGCTAGAGAGACAAAATTCACAGCGTGTGTTGAACTGTACGTGAACTCACTTAGGTCAAAGTTTAAAGCTCTTAGGTCATGACCTCCGGGTCAGATAAGATCAAGCATGGTTAAATTCCAGATTAGTCTCCAAAGGACCCCTAGTCATGATGAGCAGAATGATACAAAAGGGTTTTGAGTTGTGCATT